TGCAGCTGCTAGGGCGGTGTGGGCCAGATGTTAGATAGCTAGTTCGTCCGTCCGTCCTATTTTTTGTCAGCTACTTCCATCAGTAGGTAGGTAGGTAGCCTTTCTGCCAGTGAAGGGATACGAGCTGGCAGACACAGAGCAAAAACAAATGGAACCCTTCAAAAGCAAACACAGTTATTCAAAAGACTCATCTACAAGCAGTAAAAAAGCAGATTAAAAAGGATGTAAAAGGAGCGATCCCAGACCATCTAACGTATGTTACCCTTTTAAAAGCAGGCAATTTTACTCATTACACCAGCGAAGAAAATTTTTGTTCCTATTTATCCCATTACCTGTGAAATGTTGCATGCAACTTCTTGTCTATTCATTCTAAAAGGCTTGTTACACACAAATAAGTATTGTGGGTCTACAGCAGCAGAAATAGGGACAAAAACTTTCATAAAGGGGCAAGACATACATTGTCCTTGTTAGGTCCCATCAAGTCGCCTCTGATTCGGGGCCACCCAATGAATGAGAGACCTCCAAAATATCTTGTTCCAAACTCATGGCTTCCTGTGGTGCGTCAATACATCTCATATTTGGTCTTCCTCTTTTCCTACTGCCTTACATCCATAGAAACATGTTTTAGCATTCTTTAGCACTCTTAAGGGCTCCTCTGGGCCCTCATTTTCTCCTAACGTGGATTCAGGCTGCTGCTCTGGAACTAGGAAATCCCTGACCCGCTGGCTGGGGCCTGGTTGAGAGCCATTTCTGATGTGGGCTGGAGACAACCAGTTTCCTTCTTGCTCCACTTGCACGCCATGTAAGTTCTTTATTGGAGTCACTGGGAAGTCATTCTTCAGCCACCGCTGACATTTCTCAATCCACTGCAAACTGGTTCTTGCACATTTTTAAAAATATTTAGAAGTGATTATGACATTTAAAGCAATTGCATCATGATGGTGGTTGTATGCTTTTTATTGTTGTTGTTGTTAGAAATGGGAAGGATGACACAGCAAAGCTCCATAATATAAACCCACTAACAATGTGTTCTAGCAACGTCAAAAGCAGAATGCAAACACGAAACAGACAAGTCATGTTAACTATCACAGCCAGAATGGCATCTTGGAAAAGCTATCAGATAAAGAAAAATCGCCAAGACGTTGGAGTATCACCCAACGAGCACAGGGTGAGTTGGGTCCGTATTAATGAGTTTTTTATTCAAGGATGGGGATTGGGTTGGAAAAGGCTGGGCATATCCTCATGTAATGCCCATGTTTACTTCTCCTTGACCAATTACAAAACAAACCAATCTTATACGCAACCCATAGAGATCCGCTCGGAAATTCAGACTTCGGTTACGTCTGAAATTCCACAGACCTTGTCATTGTCTAGGTTGACTCCAGGGCTGTGCAGGTTGTCTAGGTCAGCTTTGTAGCAGAAACTCAAACGCAGAGGTGGTCATTCCACCCACTGCAGTCATCAAGATCGATCCTGATTCCCAACACTATAGAGTGCTTCAAAATTTTCTCCGCATCATGTTCCATAAGCCGGTTTGTCATCCGGTAGAGACGACGCTATGTTTGAATTCACCCCCGGTTTCATGACGAGTGAATATATGGCTTGATTTCCATCTATGACATTACGACTGCATATGGCATAAGGCGTGCCTGCAAAACCAATGGAGGGAGCAGAGTTAAATAAATATAGGTAGGTTTTGAATCTTGCTGAACAACATTTAATAAGCCTTTTTCATGGCATTATAAAATCATGAAACTGGAAGGGGCCGCGAAGGCCATCAAGTCCAACCCCCTGCTCAAGGCAGGGACCCAAATCAAAGGAGATTTGCCAGGTGGCTGTCTTTTTTTAAAAAAAGAAAAGCTGGTTAAATCAACTTATTTTTAATGGAAACACAGAAATGATGGGTATTCAGTGCCTGATTCTCAACTACAGGTTGCATGTGATTTACACTATCGATCAAAAAGAGGGCGAAATTTTAAATGGTTGAGAAATAATATCCTACACATCAAAGCTAGCCACTCAGTGATATCACGCAGAACAGACCACTCTGGATTCAGTTATATCAGCTAATATGCAAGCAGGGCTAAACACACTGGAGTGAGAAAAATCACGAATTCTCAACTGGTTTGTATGAAGCCCAGACTGAAGCAGAACAGTAAGCTTTGGCTCCAGATTAAAATGAAGAGAGCTTGCACCTTTGGTTCAGCTGTTGTGTCTTTCCCCGATTCCTTGCCAGAAAAACGAGACCCGAAATTGGCCAGTAACAGTTCTACCATATCATTTGGCAGAATAGGGAGACAGAGACAGAGATAAGCTAGCCTCTAACATTATGTGCAGAACTGAGAAGTTTGGTCTGGAGTTTTAACAAAATCTCACATTCTATAGTGATTAAATGTGCTATTGTGAAAGGCCTCCCGAGACATTTCTTTTCCATGTTTTGCTTAAGGTGTGACTTTAGCAACTGCTTTTAAATTACATTGATAGGGAGAATATACTTACAGTCATCAACTTCTCTTTCAGCTATTGTGTAATCCCTAAATAAAAGAAATGACTTTAGAGCTATTTCTATGGAGTGGAAGGGGAAAAAAATATACAATAGTATACAGTATTCCATGCCATACCTTTGATGCTGTTCAGAGGCTGTTGCTGTAAGAAAATTAAAAAAAGCAATGTGAATGTGCACAATTTCAAAAGCTTTTGTAAATTATGTCATCGGCTTTAATCCTTTTTTAATCCACTCTTTTTTCCTTACCCTTTCGATTCTTGCAGTAAAAAAGCAGCCCAATCCCGCTGATCAGAACCACACCTCCCACGATTCCCAAAGAAACTTTCAGCACTAAAAAAGAGAGCATGAGATGCAATTGTATTAGTAGGCAGGAAAAAACGGGCGCGCTTCTGTGCATTTTACAAAGTGACGCCTTTCATCTACCCTGTTAATATTTTGGTGCTAAGCATGGGGTAGACCAATGGCATCAGTGGGAACATACGTAATGGTCTGGTCTGCTGGGATTCCATGGATTTGGTGGATTTACTGCAGTTTTAGAGCCAGTCTTAATATTAGCCATGGTGAAACAAGAGAAAGGTAGGGAATGGGGGGTTGGCTGTTGTGTTCTTGCTGCATTTACTGATCGGTAGAGATGCCCGTGGGATGTTCCGACTCACCTACCAAGATAAGCTGGCTGGCTTTGGTATCATGCATGCTGACTTGGACAGGGGAGGGGAGAGCCTAATCTGCCACAGGCTGGGGCTAACAAACGGGATTTGGATCAAAAGAGCTGTGATATCACAAAGACCAACAAATTTTGCTTGGCATAAGCCCACGGCAACCAATTCATGGAGGGTAGCCATGATCTGGCAAATATTTAAACCATTGTTGACCAGAGGGGGAAGGGACCAGAGGGAAAGGTAGAGAAAGGGAAATGCAAAAAAATGAGATGATGATTTAATCTTAGAACGGCCGAGCTGGAAGGAGCCCTATGGATCATCAATTCTAGCCCGTGTTTAGGAGACACAGTGAGGAATTGAACTCCCAGCCAAACCAGTGAGCTATCCAGAGGAGCACGAGATGATTTTAATAGTGGGAAGTGCTGTTGGCAAGTGGCAGAGACACTCAATATATGTACGGCAACTCAATACAGTATATGTATGGTAATGATTTTTCTTTTTTTGCCCAATTCAGCTCTAGGTTTAACCTCTCTACAAGGCCAGAGGGAATAGAACTGCAAAAATTATAGGCAGAAACCGCCTAAATAGAGATATTTTGAATCAACAGAGAAT